AGATGTCTTCGGCAATATCAATTCGGAGCAACATAGAACAAATGTTAGTATTTCTAATACTTTCTTTTTGGAAAACACAACAGCCTTAGAAGTCTATAATACTATAGAAGGTTTGAAAAACAGCACTCCAGACATCAGTTTCTTAAATATTGAAATCTTAAAACACATATCTGATATTTTACCTCAACCATTATCGTATCTGATAAATAAATCTTTTGAAAATGGTTACTTTCCGGAAAAACTAAATCAAAACTTAGTTTTGCCATTAGTCTATATAAAAATAAAGGATTAAAAAGTGAAATTGAAAATCAAGTTCAGTTTCTCTTTTCATGTAATTAAAGCATAAAAATATCAATAAAACATGTAGAAACAACTAAAATTTGTTAACAAAGTATTAGGTCTTATTTTAATATTCACTGAATATTCTTAAAATAATTATTTTAAATACTGAATATTTTTTTGGCAACAATGGTATTTCTAATATTCAAGAGAAATGTTATTTTATAAGCTATTTATATATTGAGATATTCTTTTCAATTTATTCCCCTAATACTAAAAACATGGATACTGAAATTGTAACATTTTTAGTATTCCATTCTTAATCCAATCTTGAATTTGAATTTATTTTTAATTCTCAAAAGACAAATTACTTTTCTTTCTTGCAATTGAATATAATAGAATTATGATAATTTTTAATAAAATTTTGTACTAATTACTGAATTTATTTCTAATTTAAATCTTTAATATGTTCTCTAACTAAATTTACAATTACTGTAGAAAGTTTTTATTACTGACAGAAAAAAGACGAATGTTTTTAAATGTAAAAAACAAAATGCATTTCCTAAGAATAGTGTTTTTCAATTCTCTAATACGCCCATTAAAAATAATAATAATAAATAAATTAAATTCGTTTACAATAAATTTTCGGATTTATATATGATTCGAAAATTTACTGTTGGCTAAAATGCAATGTAAAAAAGTATCTTATCGTGCAAACTTTCTAGACACAGTCCACACTCAGTGTTAGAGCAAAAACCGGTTAGAACCGCCTCTACATAGAATCGCAGCTTGTCTAAATGTCATCTAACGGATTATTTATTTTTCATAATTGAGACAATTAACAAGAGGTAAGTAATTTCGTTTTTATTCAGTTTTAATATTTGATACTTACATTAAAGTAATCAAATATTGCATAAATGTAATAAACGAAAACATATTTCATAAGTTAGTTGTCAAAATAAAGATACAGGTTAACAGCCACAGTGTCTTGGCCACAGTATTTGTATATCTTGTCTACATAATAGAATTAACAGTTTCTAATATAATATTGCAAATAATTAAAATATTGATAGTAATAAATATATTTAATAATAATAAATTTTTTACTATAAATTAAGATATTTTAATTGTTTAAAATAATGTATCAAATAAATACGACTGCAATAAATTGCTAAAAACTTTTTTTTACCAAAGTCAGAATAAAGCTTTCATTGATAAACACTTTCCTGGTAAGAAGCGAAATTGCTATAGACTTACTAAAAGTTTTTTTCTAATCTAATGACAGTTTATCGACGTATTTCTGCGACAGTTTCTCATCGAACGAGCTTGCTTATCTCATTTTTAGTAATTTTATGAACGTTTTGAAGCTAAGATTTTTTCCTGCATTTCACAACATTCTCCCTTTCAATTTTCACCCTTAAATGTGCCCCAATTTATGTTAACAGTTCTGTCATCAGAAAGCTATCGTTTGTTAACATTGAATTTTTTTTATATTTTACAGTATTACATTAAAATCTCATGCATTTTAAGAGGATCTTATTACAAATATTTCATAATGAAATCTTGATTTAAAAACTGCATTTTACTATATGAGAAAGATTTCTTGATATCAACAAATTAAAATACTTTTTAATCATTTACTAATAGAGAAAATAATCTAAAAATACGTAAATTAACAAGTTGTGTTTCATGTTGAAAATTTTATACTTCAAATGATTTATCATTTTAAATTATTTTTGCACCTGTTATCTGAATAAAATATAATCGATTTGGCACAGAAGTAGCTTGCCAGGTTTTCCATAACGAATTCTTGGGTATCTGGTTGGCACAAGTTAAAACAAAATCAAGAAAATTTCTGCCCAAAAATAGTGAAGTTATAATAAATAAAAGGTGGTCCAATGTTTACAGCTTTCTAAACGTGTAACGATAGGTTTATCGTAATGTTCCCTGTATGGTAATCTTTATTAAAAGAGAAAGATTAACGCTTAAAATAAACGGAAACCTTATTACAAAGTACAGTTGTACTGTATGTATTTGGTTTGCATCCTTTTGTTCTTTGTTATTGTATTTTTAGAAACACTAACTTTAGCATTCTGTTACTTTCGATAGTTTTTTCCTACTAAATTAGTTTTTTTTTTTAATTCTCAACTATAGGGACACTAAGATTTTTTTTTTTTTTATCAAGTCCATCGTGGGTTCGGCCTGGCTTACAATGGGGAAGATGGGACTATTACACATTCGAAACGAATCAACCTCCGAAAAATTCCTGGAGTTTTTCGTCCTGCCAGATTTGGAGGATCAAATTTGACACTTTCCCTTATGTACACGTAACAGCAAGGAAAGGTGTCCGGCTTCTTTTGCCACTATTAGTTGTGTTTTAGCGCTAGTAAAATAAATTTCTTCATCTCTTTTGTAGATATTTAAATTTACATGTATTACGTCACAGTTGATATAAAAGTTTTCTGTAAATCTATATATTGATACGATAGAAATCATCAATTTATTTTCATGAGTTTTTGATACTAAATAATTATACAACTAAACAGAAAAAATGAAGGAAATAACATTAAGTTAATTCGTAGAATTTGTTTATTTGAAGTACCCAGCAGTTGAATTGCATTTATTTATTTAAAAAATAAAAAATTGCAGATGTTACTTGAATCCTATTTTAGGCCTGAATATACAGAGTACAATTCTTTGACTCTGCCGTGAATATTAATAATAATCTTTTACTAAACTATAATCGTAAAATAAAAATATGCTAATTGTATCAATAAAATATTTTAAACATATTTTTGAAGGCAGTCGGGTGATGCGAGACTGTTCGACACATCGAACAACGATCTATAAAATGTCTGAGGTTTCTCTCTGAATTCGCACAATCCTAGGCAATAGCAAATCCAGAAATATTTAAAGGGGGCGGAAAAGAAACAATATACCTTACAAAACTTTTTACTATCTGACTTACCTGGCATTACTCGGAATAAAACCCTCAGAAGGAGGTGCAGCTGTGCTTGCGCACCCCTTAAAAATGCCTCTGCTCCTAGCGTTCTAGGTGCTTACATATTAGTATCAAATGATATGAGTAGCAATGCAAACGTGTTATGTCATTTAGTATAAATTCTGTGGTAATACTATTCACTGAACGAATATATATCTCATGATTTCCTCAACATTAATAATAAATATGTAGAAAAATATTTGTAGCTATTAGATGTAGATATGGTACATGTTTTGCTAAATAAATAAATAACAATTTTTATAAATATTTAATTAAATTGTGAGTAATTAAAATTTTGATGAATTTTCAAATATTCTAATATTAATAACAGTCACAAAAATTAGCATTCTAGAGACATTTGAAGCCTTAAAATTAATTGCATGTAGATGTTAAGACTGTCATCTATTTTCTAGAGAAATTTTTATATACTTGTATACAAAAGAGTGAAAATTTTTCTAAATATTCAAAAAGGGTTAATAGTGACAATCCCAACCACAAACTCAACTGTCCACCAAGATGACTGAAAAATTCGTCCTTCTGTAAAAGAAAAACAGTTTTAAAATAAGCTTTTAAAAGATGGAAATGTATGAGATGATAATCAAATGTTCTGTTGATTTGTTTATTAAACGTGATATCTAGAAAGGTTGCATACGTTACTTAGAATATACAGAGAAAACTCCAAACAAACAATTTAATTTAAAATATTTTGTATAACAACTTTAAATTTATGAGAACCAGTGTTTTGTATTGATTCATGACATTTTGTACCTTTAAACCAGGGCTGTGAAGTCGGAGTCGGTAGATTTTTACGCAACCTCACAGCCCTGCTTTAAACTATTGTCAAACAATTCAAATATAAATATAAAAAATGTTTTATTAAATAATTTCTAGTCCTTTATTTGTCGTAAAGTTAATTTTGTGTATTAAATCTTTCAAATGGTTGTTAACCTATTAGAATTAAATAAGCTATGTTCAAAGAAAAATTCAATATTCAAGATTAGTAGTGGTTTGACACATACTTATCACAAATTTTAATTAAATTAATTTTCTAATCACAAATATGATACATACTGAGCACAAATCTTTAATTTTTATAGATGTTTATGAAAAATATACTTACAATTCATCTTATTGAACGTTGAGGTTTGCTGATTGTTGAAACTTCTTGATTCTGATGAAAAATTACTCCATATTTATACTTACATTTAAAGATATCGAAAAGATGTGGTCGAGAATTATTAATAAAATGTTTGCTAATTTTGTTTTTGTTTTTTTTTTTGTTCTAATATTCGAATAAATTAAAATACGACAATTTGAAATAATATTATAACAATAAGACAAAGTAAAGTAGGGAAATAGTTCAATATAATAATTATTTAATTTATATTTGTTACTTATTTATTAAATACCTATACAACGTATTGATTTTGAAAATATCTATTTTTTGTTCAATTAAGAATTGTTCGTAAGATAGAATATCGCAAAGAGAACAATGCTTTTTAAAATATTTGTGGTAATAACAATTCTTTTTAATATTATCTGATCTTGGACACCCAAGAAGTTCGATGTCTAAATAACTGTAGTTCCAGTTTTTAAAAAGATTTTTTTTTCTATCTATCCACATTTAAATAAAAATATTCGTTATACGTTGTGAAATAATTTAATAAGTTTTGTAAATTACTATGTTCGATCCAGCCAGTTATATCCGATGGTTTTTCGTCTATAAAATTTAATCCATGAATTTTTTTGGTAGTAATTCATCAAAATTCATTTTTATAATGAATCTATTATTTTTTAAAATTTAACAGTTAGACTTAAAAAATCGGTAAGGTTCGACAATTATATGTATGGTTTATATCTGTCATATGATAAACAAAATTTTAAGGAATTACAATCAGAGGTTCGTTATCTGAAAGTTTAATACCAAGTAATATAAATTTAAATGTATAGAAATTAATTAAAATGATAATATTATTGATAATAAGTTAATATTAAATAAATGTAATCGATTATATTATATTTAAAACTAATATAATTATATACATACGATAATATAACTAATACAGATCATCTTACAATTTTATTATGTTTTTAGTTAATTTAATTAAATAAGTTGTTTTTAAAATAAATTACCTTATTGTTGTAAAATTTATTCTTAAAGTTTGTTGATATATAATAATTTACATTGAGGTGAGATGAGTTTATAATTTAAAAAATGTGTATAATCAGAGTTTCATTTATTAAAGTTTAATATTTTTAAATATTTCCTTAATTATAGTTTATCAGGTAAATAAATATTATTTCAAAGAAATAAAGGAATTATGGTTTAATATAAACCATATAGTAATTCAAAGTTTAATGAGTTGGTTTGTTCACACAGTATAAATTCGATTTGAAGAAAGACAATTTTTTAATATTATTATTATTATTATTGCTACTGTACAGTTTGAGTTAAATTCTCATATTATATCTTTTACTTTTATTTCATTTTGGTAACTAAACTTTTTTTAATTTTAAAAACACAAGTTTCATTTCAATTCAATTACAACATAAATTTTAAAAATTATATTTTTATAGATTTCCCATTAACACTTTGACAAAATGGATGAAATAATTGAATATAATCGTGATATAATATCAAAAATAGGAAGACAAGACAACATTTGGTATATCAATGAACATTCTATAAGTCTACGGCCAGTAAAATATATTTATGTACGAAATCTTTTTGTCATTTTCTTATTAAATTATAAAATAATACTAATCCTAATTTTTATTTATATAAAATTACAGAATGCGATGCTAATAGATTTTGAAACATTTCAAGTTAAAGATCGTGAAATTATTTATCGACAGTTGGCCATAAAAACATTACACAGTCCTATAGAAGCTGTAATAGACATTTATATAGATTCTGTTAAAAATTATCAATTATCAGCGAAAGATCAATGGCAAGTTAATTTTACTACCAAAAAATTCATGGATTAAATTTTATAGACGAAAAACCATTGGATATAACTGGCTGGATCGAACATAGTAATTTACAAAACTTATTAAATTATTTCACAACGTATAACGAATTATTTTTATTTAAAGTTGGACAGATTGAAAAAATCTTTTTATTAAATAAAAGCTGGAACTACAATTATTTAGACATCGAACTTCTTGGGTGTCCAAGATCAGATAATATTAAAAAGAATTGTTATTACCACAAATATTTAAAAAAGCATTGTTCTCTTTGCGATATTCTATCTTACGAACAATTCTTAATTGAACAAAAAATAGATATTTTCAAAATCAATACGTTGTATAGGTATTTAATAAATAAGTAACAAATATAAATTAAATAATTATTATATTGAACTATTTCCCTACTTTACTTTGTCTTATTGTTATAATATTATTTCAAATTGTCGTATTTTAATTTATTCGAATATTAGAACAAAAAAAAAAAATTAGCAAACATTTTATTAATAATTCTCGACCACATCTTTTCGATATCTTTAAATGTAAGTATAAATATGGAGTAATTTTTCATCAGAATCAAGAGGTTTCAACAGTCAGCAAACCTCAACGTTCAATAAGATGAATTGTAAGTATATTTTTCATAAACATCTATAAAAATTAAAGATTTGTGTTCAGTATGTATCAAATTTGTGATTAGAAAATTAATTTAATTAAAACTTGTGATTAGTATGTGTCAAACCACTATTACTAATATAAAGTAAAAAATTAAAGCACAATTTATATCTGATACTTTCATAAAAATGTATGAGAATTACTAAAATTTTACCTCATAAACAGGATGTTGATTATAAATAAAACGTTCCATTCTGTCAAAGAATACATTCATTTGAAGATGTCCTTTTCTTAGAAATGAAAGTAATATACAGAGAATGTTATACAAAATCAATGTTTTAACGTAATATCAATTTGAGGCTATTCTGTGTCGTTAAATTTACCTATATTCTTCATAAGTGATTTGTTTTGACAAATTCTTTAAAGAGCGAAGCTACAAAATAATTTTACATTAAAAAATTATACACAAATTATTTAAAAAATTAAAGCATCTGAAAATTCTAACCTTAAATTCTGATTCTGATGGCCATATTGTCGAATAAAGACTTACATCATACGTAATTTCACTAAATTCCAAGTAAATGTATAATGTTCATTATGTAACAATTTTACGGTATAATTTTAATATTTTCAAAATATCAAGATTTTAACTCACTGACAAGGTAGAGGACACTGGCAGTAAGAAATATTCACTTTTCTCATTTTCATCATGCAGCATGCTACCAAAAAAAAAAATTTTAGTTTTGTTACCGTTTTAAAGATATTTAATAAATCTAAATGTAATTTAAATGACATAAAATATTATAAAATAGAATCGCCTCATAGACAGTTTGTTTAAGTATCAAGCAGTTAATAAGCAAGCCAATAATGTAGTTCTTTTCAAATGGATTATGGCAGTATGTTATTGATTTGCTTGCTTAGCTGCTTATTACTTAGAAGCATCCATAATTTTTATCTTTAGTATAATATAATTTTTATAAGTTAAAAATAATAATACCATCTTCTTCCTTAGTCAAATCGCAAAATGTTACGTTTCTGTAAAATTTCAAAGTAGGATCCAAACAACCACATTCTTTTTTAATCAGATCTCTAGTGCATAATGAAAGACATTCCTGTTGAGTGTAAAAGAAAAATCTAATATTTTAGTTTGATTAAAGCTCCAAATAATGACCTTTGCTCAGATGTACTGTACAGTACATTAATTAGCAGATAAGATAATAAAACTTTTTAACTTGTTACCTTTTGACTTTTTATTTTCTTAAAATCATCTTTACCGTAAAGAACACACTTATCTTTAAATGGTTTAGACATTCTTCTGTAAAGATTCTAAAATTTTAAATTTCAAATCTTAACTCATATATTTAAAATACACGCACATATATATTTATTTACAAACCTCTTGAATGGCAAAAGCAGTATCAAATCCAGTACTAATGTCGATGCCTGTTTCTTCTGGATAAGGTCGTTCGTCTGGTGAATGAATTATTACGTGAACTCCCATTTTAGATGTTATTGATAAATACTCTTCTATCTGAACGTTTAGAGTTAAAGATAACCCTAACAGAAATAACCAGTAATTACTTTTAGAATAAATTAAAATTTGTAAAAATATTTCTTACCAGAGAAGGGATTCGTAGATCTAGAAATCAATTTTTCGTTTCCATCATCTATAAATTTCTTTCTTTTCCTTCTCCCCATATCTTCTTGTCCTCTAGAATTCATCCAACGTCCATTAAAAGTATAACAGCTGCCATATGTAAAACTTTCCAAAGGAGTAAAGCTTCTGCAAAGAATAATATCAATTCAAAAAATATATTTACAAGTACATTTCGCCCCAATGGTTGAATGGATAACACCACTGAAGGTCGTGGGTTCGCGTTTCGCCAACGCGCTAGCCGCATGGAGTTTTATGGTTTTCTTCGCTTGAATAACAGTTAAATAAGGACGCGTTTCTCATAGAAAATCCTCCAGTCTATTCCTCTCGGCAGATCGCTCACGTATTGCATTGCCTTTTCCCATTAATCCTACGTTCGAATTGTTATTTGTAGATGGTCGAAGCAGTGAAGCGTAAGCCTCTCGCTATGGTCACCTGGGATCAACTCCCAGAAATTTTTTAGGACAATCCGTCCCGCATATACTGTATTGGGCTCCGTCCCTCGCCACCCGGCCGCCCTCATTATGAGCCTGGCCAAACTCGCGGTTGGTATATTAAAGGCCTTCTCATTGCCGATAGGGCGGAAATAGCTAAAAATAATGATTCTTTGCATCATTGATGAAATTATTTTTAAAAAATAAACTCAAATTATTTATTAAAAACGATATAATTCTTACGAAGCATCACATTTTTCTCCATCAAAAGTACATTCTTCAATCATGTCTTCTATCTGGTGACTCATTTTTTTTATTTTCCAATCTTCAAATCTCGAGAAAGTATTCGTGAATGCAAGTAATTTTTGATGATATAATGTCATTTCTCTTTTCGAAGAATTACTGCATGTTGCAAATTTAAAGACAAATTCCTATATCAAGTAATGATAAATTATGATAAATTTATTAATAGATATAATAATAAGTTTGAATATAATATCGTATATACCGGTTTATTCTCAATATCTGAAGAACTTTCATGTATGATACGTAAATACTCGCAAGATTTTCGCTTAGATTTACACACGTCTTTATGGAGTTCCGATACTCTCATTCTAGAATAGAAAAATAATTAATTTATAATATTATTTCTAAAGTTTTTTGCTAGGCTTACCTATTTGAATTGCAAATTGTTACAGCTGGAAAAAATAGTTCACCTTCATTCTCTACTTCTAGATTAACAACAACAGGATATTCGAAGAAATTCGTTAGAAATTTATAACTGGAATATGTGAAACCTGATAAACCTCCAAATACAATAATTAACCAAAAAATTTTGATATTTCTGTGTTTTTCTTTAATACTAGGATAGTTCAAAAAAAATATTTCACTGCATTTTTTTCGAGATAACTTTTTCTTATTTTTTGATGAATTTTCCCACGCAATAATATAAGGTGGTTTTGTATTAGATCTTTTTTCATAAGATTTCATTTTTAAGGATTTCTAGCAGCTCTAAATTATCTATTAGTAGAAATAAAACTGAAAAAGATATGTAAGTTAACATACGATATGATTGGTTGAACGAGAAATTCTATCAACCAATCACCATGCATTTAAATAACATTTTGAATTCATAATGAAAGAGTTTGTTATCGGAAATCGTTATTTTTTTATCTCTAATTTTTTCCTATTTTTTCAACTTAAAAAATTATCAGTTTCATTTTTTTTAATTATGAAAGGTGTTAATTACTTTTACTGAGATTATGATTATATAAAATACAATAAAAGATTGTCAAGATGGAATTAAACTCGACCTTATGCCTTTTGATAACTTAATTTGAAATATTTAAATATTACTAAAGAATCCAATAGGTTATTATTTCATTTATTATGGAGAGTTTTATAAATATAATATAAAATTCTATCGTCAATAACAAGAATGTACATTTTTTTATTGTTGACTCTTGCCACCCTGTGGGTATTAAGAAAGCATTTTTTTTTTTTTTTGAATTTTACCTTCATGGGTTCGGTCAGAATGGGGCCGGCTAGGTGATGAGAGATGGGGCCCGACATTTCCAGGACAGACTACCCCGAAAAATTTCTGGGAATGGTCGCCCATATTTGTGGTTCCCTGGATAGGTAGACTGATTCCTTAACCGCTTCGACCCAACAAAAATATACTATTAAAATATTGAGAAACAGACTCTTTTCTAAAACTGTTATCCTGTTTAATTAAAAGAGACTATATCTTTTATAGAATTTTTTCTGTGTTTTATTTGTTTTGTTAAAAGTTCTCCAGATAACTTTAAACTTTCCACTTTCAAGACTTCCATTGTCCTTGAAATCAGTACATTCAATAAAGTAAATTTCTGAACCTTTTAAGAAAAAAATCTATATAAATTTGCAAAGTGGATTTCGAGGGCCGTGCGTTTTAGAGCAACTACATTTATGATCTCTAAAATGCGTGCCAAATGACTTGAAAGTAGGAAAACACCTTTCTTTTACATTATTGTTGGAAAATGAATAGTTTATTCTTAATAATAATAATAATAATAACAAATGCAACTATATAATCGATATATTTCGAGTTCATTAAGAAGTAGTTATGAGTAATGTATAGACCAGGCCTGGCCAATATGCGGCCCGCGGGCGGAATCTGGCCCGTCTAATGAATTTATGCGGCCCGCGATTAATCTTTCAATATTGGCTACTCAAGTCCGAATAGCTCGATGAAAAATTCTGACGCCTAAAAAAAAAAAACAAAAAAAAAAAGTCAACAACTCACTGTGCGTTTAGAGTTAACCCTCTGTTACAAATCTCTTAATTAAGTACTGAGTAGAATGTTGGTAAAGCATGCTAATGTAAAAAATGTAGTCTATCTGTAATCTCTATGTACAATTTAGTCTCTACAGGGTGACACCACAATGAGATCTCGCACCACCTCAAAATCTTGCTAGGGCAGCCTCTGGTTCGATTCGTGAAAAAAGTTTTCTTTCCAATTCGGCCCAGGGGCAAAAGCTATTGGCCACCCCTGGTATAGACTAAACTTTTCAGATTATAGAACTACTTAAACTTACATTATCTACTACTTAAATGCTGATTCTTCTGTATTTTTATTACAAATTATTATTTACTATTTATTGTTATTTATTAATTAATAATTATGAACTTTAAAGAAACACATAGTTGTAAATTCGCTGAATAAATTAAAGACCCCAATGTGAGCCTTTGAGGGTAAATCTCTTAAAGGAGACCACCGAATGACCCAAGCGGAATGACGTCAGTCTACTGTTATGTGTTTGTTTGTTAAGGTATGGCAACGCAACATTTGGGCGATCTGCCTAGGAGGATGCCTTCTGGAAGGTCTTTTATGGGAAACTGGCCCCCTATGCAGAACAAGCGATTCATGTAAAACTGGAAAATAGTGATTCTGAAAAAGAAGAACCCAAAGAATTTGTCTACAGATTTCAGTAACGAAAATATTTTTATAAACGTTTTATTTCTGTGACAAAATGCATTTACGTTTGATGTTTATGAATAGATTTATTGCAGTATACATACGAGTATATCTAATTCAAAATAATTCGTAGGTCCACCAGTGGCCAAGCGGTCTTCTGTTCCCTAAACACTGGTAGTTGGTCGTGGGTTTGCATCCGGCCAACAGGCTGGCCACGTGAGATTTTCCGGGTTTTCTTCACGTTAGTAACACCTAAATAGAAGCCAATTTTCTTTGAAATATCTCTCGGAAGGATTTTCCTCTTCGGTAGATCGCCGATGTATCGCGTTGCCGTAACCAAATAAACCAAACCAATCTATGATAAAAATATATTTTAAAGTTTAAATATCGCATTAAGAGATGTGATATTCAATTCGCGTAATAAAATAAATAATATTAATTATATTTTGTTATTATAATAGAAAGCTTTACCACCCTCGTGCTTCCTTTTTAAAAGCGAATCAGAAAACAGGCTCTAGCTACAATAGCGCGCCCATTAACGTATGGGTATACTCAGCCATAGCCGGAGGGCATCTCTTTCTCAGAGTTTTATGTTGTTCGACGGAAAATATGTTTGTTCGACGGCCGGATAGCCTAGAGTAAAAGTGGAAGCCTACTGCTCATGGAGAACTAGGATCAAATCCGGACTGAGTCGAAAAATTTCAGTGAATTTTTTGGGAAGTGATCCGTCTGGATATGTTGGATCCTGACCATCAATGTGGGCATGGCCGAGTCCGCAATGGAATTGCTAAAAAAGACCCTCTTAGTTCCCATAGGATGGAAAGTTATATATTTTTCGTTCTATAGCTGTATAATGTCTCTAAGAAATTAGGCCGTGGAGTCTGAAAAGTATTGATCCTGGCATCCATTTTTAAAGTCATACTCATTTTATAAGAAAATAAATTAATTGTAAAGTACTTAGTATGAAAGCAAGTATACTCAGTATTCGTTTTAGCAATACAAACTCAGAAGCGATCTCCCATCAACACTCCCTGGATTTGTGTCTACTGAATATTTTTCTAGAAAGTGTTAAGAAATTATGCATTTAAAATCAAACTACCGCGCGCAGCGCATTTTTATGTCAATAATCCAAAATATATACTGACCGGATAATCGATACAGTTACGACGTTAGTCTACAGCTTTGGGGAACTCTGGATCGAATCATTTTTCAGGGGTAGACACCACCTGAAAAATTCTTGTGGTCGAAAAACCACAAGAATTTTTCAGGTGGTGTCTACCCCTGAAAAATTCCCGGTTGTGTCGGGTCCGTTTCTAATCACCCAACTGTTCCTTTATGGACTTGACCAAACCTACGATGGGCTTGAAAAGGTTGAAAAAAAACACAAAATTAATGTTGTTTGTAATTCTAAAATGCATAGCATAATTCAATAAGTTTCGGTATTAATTTTTGACTTATAAATTTAGCTAATATAATTTATTTATTCATATTTATGTAAGATTGGTTAAAATGATCGATAGTTATTTTCTTCCTAATGAACTATCCATCATTGGAACACGCATTATTCTGTTGATCGATTTAATTAATTATTTCAGAAATATCAAACACTGTCGAATAGAAAGTTTGTTTATAAATATTTGAGAAGATAAAACAATATATCATAAAATTATTGACATAAAGAATAAAATGTGACATTATTCATTTATACGTGAAAACTAAGAACTTTTTACAATCAAAATTAATTTATCATTTTAGTTTTTCATATTTATTTGCGAATTAATCTAAATATCATTTATCATTTTCCTATAGATTTGCGTCGTTCAAATTTAAAACATTTAATTTTATGTTTAGAAATGTTAATTTCAATGATAGAATATGAATTTATTAACTTATAATTTTAAGTAGATTATTATGTAATATTATTATTGCAAATAAATTGTGTAAAAGTTTACTATTAATTTCATACTATAAATTTATAATGAAATTTTTGTATGTAAATATTAAAGTTTGATAACTTAAAAAAATACAACGACGAACGCGCCTCTGGTGCTAATTATAAGAATCTTTTAACATGTGCTTTTGTATTTCGTGTTGGTACTTGTCAACATAATGATATAAACTTAATAAGTATATTCTAGTCGTTAAATAAGCTTTAAAATGATTAAAATTGTCAACTTTGCAAGATTTTGTTGTCCTTCCGAAATATCAAAAGGTTTGTGGAAGTAATGTTTTATTATTATTAATATTTTAATTATTAATTTTGTAGAAATTTAGTATTTCGGATATTTACGGAGAATAAAATATTGTCTATAGATAATTTATTGATAATTATTTGTTTATTTTTAGGAATTTATAATTCATTGTTGAAAACGTGTGAAAGGAATATGTATACAGTAAGTAATGAATGATAATGTGAAAGAAAGTTTCTTGATAAATATTACATGAAAAAACAAAATTCTGATTACAGATTGCAGTCGAAGGGAATATTGGAAGTGGAAAAACAACGTTATTACAATATTTCTCAAACTTTCCAAGCACTACAGTAAACGAAAGAAAATTTTATTTTGAATTTAATTAATATTCAATCCACATAATTTTAAAGATGATTAACCTTAAGTTTCTAAATTCAACACTTATATGACTGGTGAGTTCTCTGTTGAGTCCCTCCGTTGAACGATTTGACATCACATTTTATAGAAAAAAGAAACATTTGCATTGAAAGGATGCATTTTATGATAACCAACTTAATTAAGAAGGCAACAATTTTGTGGCTTTTTGCTAAATAATTAAAGTTACTCACTTAACTCTTATTGGCCCTAATCAAATTTTGAATGAATTCATGGAGGTAGCTTATTTCTGAAAAAAGCTTAATATTTCAATATTGACCAAATTATCCAACATAATCATGCAATCACATGTTTTATCATATGCAGATTGTTCATTAACATGTTTGCTATTACAGTGTTCATAGCAAGAGTGAATCAATAGTTTCTATAAGCAAAATATACTTGTTTTATGGAAGCTGCCGTGTTAGTTTGTTGAATACTCACTGGTGAACTATGCTGATGTCACAGTTCAATGGACAACTCAATGGTCTATTTAGAAATGTCATTTTCTCACTGTTGAGCCAGTCGTTGAATATAGAAATGTATCTAATGTAATTATATTTTAAAATCCTTTATAACTAATATGCATGTGCATGTATAATAGTCTTAAGTGCTTACAAAGTACAGATAAAAAAAAGGGGGTTTCAAAAATTATCAGTTTGATAACTATGGAAGCATGTATGCTTTAAGCACATGCTACCATCATTTTGATGCCATGTTTGATTAAGCAGTGATTAGCACATCATTTACAAATGTGCTGTCTGTGTTTCAGTTTGTATTAAAAACAAAAATCATATCATATTTTTATGCATCATTGGTGGTGTTATAATAGATAAAACAGGAAATCAATTGTGACTTTGAAAATCAATTGTGATTTGTTAGTAGTTGTGCTTCCTTAATCAGATATGACATTGAAATGATGGTAATGTGTTTACTTAAACAAATAGTGCCATCTGTAGTTATAAAACTGTTTTTTAATCATTACTAATTTATTCTTTATATGCATATGAGAGCTGCCAATTAAGTTATTAAAACAACATTTTTTAAGAAAATAGAATTTTTTTTTCAAATCAGTCATGTGTGATTATTTTTATGAAGCCACTCAAATTATTCAAAACTTTTTGTCAAATCTTTAGAAATCATATTCTGTCTGTAGAATTATTTTTCTGGATGTGTTACTCTGACTGTTCGAAAGCACAAATGATTCATCTTCATGGAATCATCTTCCATGTAGGATTCTTTGAGTCTTTTAACAAATCAAAATTCACAAAGCATGATGTTCCAGTATTTCAGTCCTATCTATAAAGAATATCCTTAACTTTGGTGATTGATAGTGAACATTATTACGGTATGCAGAATGATTGGCAATTCTTGCAATAGCTCAAGCTCATTCCATTGTGCAGCTGGGCTCTAGAAATTTCCTATAAATAATTAGGATTAACTGTTTGTTCACCTGGTATGCTGTGTGATATCATATATCTAACCTTTCATATGCAATAATCATAACCTTGATATTTTTACTCTGTAACTTCTTGAATCAGTGAATCAAATTTCTTCACTTATTTGACTGCCTTTTAAGCCTTACTTCATACAACTGGGTTCAGATTTCATTTACAGCAATAATTTGATTAAGAAAAGTATCTTTTTTTTGTAATGCTGCAAATGATTTTGGGCAATAGCACATTGTTGCCATTATTTCACTTCAGTGAAATGATGTGGAACAGCAAGATGTAATCTTTAGCATTTTCAATAACTGTGCAATTTTTTGAGAGTACATCCTACCTATAAAGTTTTCACAGGATTCTTTATCTATCTGTAAATTTTATTCTAAAAGAGAAATTTGAAATTAATTTGGAAAGCTTTATTCTCCACTGGTCTTTCAGATTGCAGTTGATTAGATGTATTATTGCAACTATTTTGAATAATTCCATCCATCTTATAACAATTCTGAAAGACATTGCCTGGTTTCCACATACTTCCTGCAGTTCTTTAAAACAATTTTTACCAAGGAAAATCAGGATTTTTATCAAGCTTCTATGTTCTAATCTTGTAACATTTTCTTAAAGCAAAGAAAAATATAAGATTTGTTTGTTGTTGTGGAAATAGAAAAATGCAATTACATGTACAATTACATCACTTGACAGAAATTGTACTAATGTGTAGTAGCTTTTACAATAATTGTAGTTGATACTTGCTGTATTGAATGAATGTGTTCATGTGCTACATGAGTTTATTTAATATGATTTAATGACACATTCCATTTATTATTGTCTTTCCTTATTCATGTTTTCAAAAATATTTTAATAGAGATTTATCGGTATTACTGATTATTTTGTCAATTCTTGCCTTTTTTTGGAATATTTTGTGTTATGGAAGAGTTTCCATTGCTCACTTACAAAACAATACTTCTATCCTTTCACTATAACCATGGAAACACTATCATTTTGATTTGAAGAATTTTCCATTGAAAAATGCAAACAGTTAAGAAATATGTGAAATAATTTAAAAATTTTATTTAAATTTATTTCATTTCTTTCTTCCTGAAATGAATGCTGTAAATAAGGACTACTTTTTGTGCATGGGATAGTAAGAATACGTTAAAATGGTGATACATAAAATTCTGTGTAAGCTCAGAATATTTTTAGTTTCAAGATAGCAGGAAGTGACAATATAAACTCTTGGCAAAAATATAATTTTATCAACAATTAAGTTATTGCCATGATTTAATTGATAGCTCTTGTTGAATTTGAAAATATAAGTTGTATTGGTTATCCTTAAAGTTATATTTAGACTTATTTTATATATGAAGTAATTTTATTTTAAATGTTACAATTATTTGAAAAATTGTTATTGTTTTATAATTGAATATAACAATTTGTTTTTTTATTAGGTCATTCAAGAACCTGTGGAAAGATGGAGAAATATAAATGGTTATAATTTATTGGTAATTACATAAAAATTTCATATCAAACCTCTATATATATGAAAACCTAAGTATGATTTATTTATTTGAATAAAAGATATTTAGTTATAGTTAATTTCTCTATGAATTTTTTAATAATATGGTTTTGTTATATTTTATTTTCAATGTGATTTTGAAAAAAAGAAATTTTCTTGTAGTAATTAGTAACTTGTCCCATTCATATTTAACATAGAATAGCATATCTGCATTCTTTAAAAGAACTATAATATTTTCTAATATGTATGTTTACAGTAGACCCCCCTATAACGCTTAGATACGTTCCACGCTAACCGAAAATTACGTTGTAGGAACGATTAAATACATGAGCCAATCGCAGCCCGATAGGTGGGAACTTTACGGACTAAGGCTGTTCGAAAGGTTTTCTTCTATAAAATTAACCGATTCTAGACTAATTCGACTCAACATTTCCAAAACACGTATAATTTTTTGGGANTACAATAAATTGAATGAAAAATATGGTTAAACAATAAGCCAACTATATATACATATGCACAGATAACGCGGAGAACAAAAGTGACAGCAGTGTTTTAGAAACGTTTATTTTCTTCAAACCGTCAGAAACTTCGTCATAACCAACAACAGCAAATGCAGTTTCTTTTCCACTTATTAAATACAAAATTCAGTCTACTATAACGATCCGATTATATATCATTTCTACATGAATAAATATACAGATAAATAATAACAAATAAACTACATTATAAATGGTATCAAGATATGAAGCATATGGAACTTTGAAGCTATTGAATTTCTGTTGATATGTTTTATATCTGTATATATATAGATAAGAATAGACGTGTTTGTGCCTATATTTCACTCTGTGCACTATGGTGCTTGCGTCTCGATAGTTATAAGGGTGTAAGAGAAGTGGGAGTTGAAAGTGGTTGACTTCGAAAATGTGTGACGCTTCAATGAGAATGTTCCAGTTTTTTCTAGAAAGTTCCAGAACCTAGAGGTGAAATTTGGTACACAGTTAGGGTACATCATGAAAACGCACACTAAGAAGGGATTTTTCGAAATTTCTCCACAAGAGGGAGAGGGAGAGCATTAAGGCTTAACCTGAAGAATGGCTTCTACTATACTATTTTAGTGCAACTTTTTATTTTCAACAACGTTTAGTCTTCATTAAGTACTTAGAGGTATTAAATTTATAACATTTCAGACATTGTTATAAATATTTTTTATATATTTTGATTTTTTAACCAAATGTTCGAACTGTTTTAAATTCAAATTTCTTTTTGCATATTGGTTCAATTATAACGATTGTAAATGTTCCAGAAAATTTATCAAATTAAAAACAGTTTGTTTGATTCTCAGCAATTGTCATCATTCTCAGTGGTAGGTGTTAAATAACAATTACTATGGTTGTTGAAATATTGAATGTAAATAGGGTTTGCTTGCAAAATCCGCGAGTGAAGCCGCGGGTAATAGCTAGTTACTAAATATAATGGTAATAACATAAGCAGCAGCATAATTAAAATGACATATTTTAAATTACATTATCATATGCACAGCCTACATATATTTATATTTAATTATTTATTTTTAGTTTTGTAATTGCATTATATTTTGTAAAAGTAAAATATTTTAGTACTTTTTATTGTAATTTTGTTAGTTTTTAAATCAGCTCTGACAAGATTTTAAAAGTAAATTTAGCGTATTGTTTTAGCATTGGAGGGATATTGATGTATGTAAGCTGTGCTCACAAAAAATTGTTTTGGTTAACACTAACTACAAGGCTATTGTTTTAATAATAAAGTTTTGAAATATTGCACAAAAATTTTATGGAGTATCATTTTAATGTCATCCTCTCCAGTGGTGTAACCTGATGAAGTCTGCACTACCATATCTCCTATTTATACTACTGTACTGTATACACATAATACTTTTAAATTAATGTTTTTAAATTAATCACTCATACATCATTCTTATCATATTTTTCTTTATTTTATGAATTATCATAAACTCTAACAAAAAAAAAAGACCATTAGAAATGTTTGTAGAAATGAGAGAAAGGCAATATATGATTAATTACTGAAAGTAAATTTAAACAACTTAAAGTTTGTCAAGTTTTAGCAAGTGATACTGTATATGATAAAGTTTCATCAAAAAACTCTTTGATTTTCCACTGGATATAGATGACAGTAAATTGAAACAATATTCAGATGTGTGTATTTTATCAGAGTTAAAATGTTTACATTTTAACTCTGATAAAATACATCTGATAAAAAATCATCAATACATTTTAACTCTGATAGAATGTTTACATTTTAACTCTGAATGCATGAAAAATTTAGATACTGAGCAAATTATATTAAAATATAAGGTATCATTTATAATTATTGTCAGGTAAAAATCAGTTTTGTTTATTAGAATCTGCCTTGGCCTAAAAACATTTTGCTCAATGCTGTCAATTTGAATTATTTTTCTAATTTGTCTGATTACGTTAGAGAAAAAGGAAATAATATATTTAAATATCTTAGGATTAAAGTTTCTAATTTTTAATGGTTAGTTTTTGGTTAATGCTTGCTTTTTATTGTATATCAGGATTATCTTAAAATTAAATAACTAAAATTGTTTAATATCGAGCATCATATCTAATTAGAAAAAAGTTTTTGACTAACTTATCTATTATCAAGTTTCAATTGAATATGGAAAGAAATTTTATTTAAATCTGATGCTGGATATTAAAGATTTCAGGTTCTTAATTTTGCTGAACTCATCCAATTATTACATGTATTAATTTATCTGTTAACTCGAAATGTAAGATTAAAAATACATTAACTCACCATTAATTTTTTAAATTATTAAGTTAATTGTGATTAAAACTTTCAATTATTAAACAATTTCAACAAAGAAATTACAGTAGAGCATCGATTATCCGACTCAATTGGGAACACAGGTTGGTCGGATAACCGGAAAAAAATGAAAAAAATACATTATTAGTATAGTATATTAGTATATCCCATGTAATTAGTATATTAGTATATCCCATGTAATTAGTATATTAGTATATTGCTATTAACCAACTTTGCATTGAATTTTCATAGATGTTAAACCTAACAAATTTTTTTTAAAAATAATAATCGTCGCTATTGTATTGTTAAAAATTATTTTTAAATTATTTTATTGCTCACAAAACAAACAACCACTCATAATTAGAAAATTAAGTCTTGTTTAAATACTGGCAGCCCTTTAACGGTTGAACTGTGTTGCCAGCTAAAACACACAAAAATTTAACAAAAATAATATTAAAGTAGCCAAGACATAGCCAAATATTGTAGTGCCACATCACTAGCGGACATTTGAAATTTGCCGACTA